TGGCTAAAATCCTATAGTTAACTCTCTTAATTTTGCAAGCAAGGATTTTCATAATATAAGGATTAAGCAGAATCATTGAAAGCAAAAATTGAGGTATGCAATATAGAATATGAATTTATTAAAAAAAAGAAATTAATAAAAAAATCAGTCATTAATTCTCAAAATATTATAACTTTAAGCAATAACGCTCATTAAGAATAAAAGAAACATAGTGAGAACAAAATATTTCAAGATCTTGAACAAGTTATTTTTATAAAAACTGAATCTATTCGATGTCGCATAAGGTGATAAAAAACTTATAGTTAAATTGGCCTGCAATGAAGTTAATATGGCTCAAAACGCCATTGAACTCCACATAACTTTGCTGATTAAGACACTTTAGGGAAAACTTCGGTCTCGACTCTAACTAGGCCTCATCATCACAACGAGAATCGAGCCAGACTAGTGTAACAGATATTCTAAACATGTTATCACTTCGTCACAATGCCACGAATGCCAATAGGTCATAGTACAGAAGTGATTTAAAAGGTAAACTAGGCCTCCGGCATATAAATATAGTAAACGTGGATAGCAGCACGAGACCTACAAATATCATTGAAGAAAAATTTAATTGAGTCCTTTATAACGTTGTGCAACATAGGCACAATAAACTGCTCAAGCAAGATCTAAAAGTAATAAATGAATTGCTTAAAATTAAATGTGAAATAGAAGAATGTAAGATTTATAGAAACCTAAGGTAATTAACAAAAATTGCGGGTATTTAAATATACATAAAGGGCCAGTTTGAATTTAAAAAATTTTTTTTTAGTTAAACATGAATTATACCTAGATTGTGCTCAAGACTGATATATCCATGTTGTCTTGTCACAAGCCCATGACTATGCGAAGCGGCAGAATGACTCGCACCTGAAGATCCAGTCGTTGAAGATGACAAACTGGAGGTCGGGTTAGGGAAAGAAGCTTTGCGTTGAGTTGATGAACCAGTGGTTTGAGAACTGACAGTCTTAGTTGTAGAATCCGTTAGGGAATTATGGTTCGTATTATTTGTTGATTCCAGAGGCAAATACAATAAAGAAGTCTCAGGCTCAGAGTTTTTATTGCAGGTAGAAAATGTAGTATTAGCAGTAATGTCTAGTTTATCATTAGCCAGCATTCTTTGAGACTTTTGGTCACTTGAACCTTCAGACTGGCACCCTGAGGTTGTGGAACCATTTATTATCGATTTGTTATTACACAGAGATAAATGGTTGGAAGAGGTTAAGCCACTGACTATATTATGCTTGGCACTATACGGAGGAGGAGGAGGAGGGGAAGTGGGAGGAGGGGGTAATTCAGGAGGAATTGAGGTATGCATTTCCAGTCTACCTGAAGAGTCAAAAGAGGGACATACCTTATGAGCAAATACATTACTCTTTCCTCTAGAGTCTTTAGTGATAAAGTGTTCCTTATTTTTCTCCTTAACATGGTGCTTATTCGTAAGGGAAATGTCTTTATTCCCAGAATCATGAGTTGTCACGCTTACGCCTGAATCAAAAGTTTTGCAATCAGTGTCGTTAGATGATATAGATAAATTTTCAAAACGCGCACAATCCCCACAGTTTGAAATATATAAATCTGCACTATCAATAGAGGAGGAATCGTGAAGGGCACCACATACATCAGTTGATGAACATCTAGAAGAACAAACGTTCAAGTGCTTAAGGGATGCGCTAGAACAGAATTTGTCATAGCTCCTTGGAATATAGGAAAAGTTGCTGCTCTTAAGCAAGCATGTATTATTCATTGGGGGTTCCATCATTTCAAAGGGAAAGTACGATAGATAAATTATACTACATGTGGAATTAAATAACTGCGGTCAAAAAGCTAGGCTAGTGGATAAGAACAAACAAGCACATAATTAATTTTAAAAACAAAAACTTATGAAATAAACTGTTGATTTTAGTATTGTTAGATTTTACTAGTTTATGCAATTAAATAGAAAAACTGACTTGTAGAGCTGAAGATAAAAAAGCAAAAAATTAGAAAGCAAAGATAGGCCATAGCAACTTTATATTACGAGACTTTAAGGCCAAGCATTTGTAATGAATTTTTTATGTCAGAACTATGTCAAATTTATGTGTTACTATAAGGTGTTATTGTAATAAATGTATTGTAATGGGCTTATTTATTCTTATCCGATGAAGATAAGAAGCCTAATTAACAGTAGCTACCATTAACATTATCTCGTTTTTTTCTAGGGATTGTTACGCTGAAAAATCCAGAGGACTAAAGTCTGATGAACAAGGAGAAGATGATTGTTTTAAGGCCAGTCAACATAAGGAACTATCATGCACTCTAATAAGCGTGGCCCTATACACTGTTCGAGTATAATTAGAGACATAAATAAAATTATGTTAACGAAACAGGGCAAAAGCATGGTAATTAACCATAAGACAATCCTGAAATAAAAAATATATAGGTTCTGTAAATTAGCAAGAGGAATTCGCCATCGTCTTCTGGTGGAATCGACCTTCGAATCTTTCCACCAAACACTTTCACTCCAAATGGAAGTAAGCACAACAATAGTTGATAAGCTTATGAAAAAATATAGGGTTGTGTGACATTCTTGGATGAGCAAAATATAACATAAATCGAAGTTGTCGGTTACATTGTTGTATATACAATTTTATCCATTTATTTGCATCCCATTACACAAAAGTGCGGCTACTTGCTGGCCTAGCGCTGCACACATCAAGCTTTATATCGACTTACAAACAGATGTAATAAGCCAACTATCACAAATAGTGTGTCGAACGCGTTTACGCAACTTGGTCTTGTTGTCAGAATGACTTAGTTGAATATACCTTGTCAGAAGCCCTCTGCAATAGCCTTTATCATAAGTCCCAGCATCAGACAGTAGACTTGATACATTCTCATACGTTTCGCCAGCATCGTAGTCGGCATCATCAGTGAGTCTTGCCAGTCTCAGTATCAAGCTACACACTCGTCAAAGAAACAAGGGAAGTCAAACACTTGGCCAAACTTTCTGCCAAAACGGTTGCACAATCACTCCTCCTTCTGTCCTGGCCTATCTATCTACTCTTTACCCTCTTATCCCATTGCTGCCCTATCACAATTTCTAACTTGTTTGCATTCCACTCGTCAAAATGTTTGCCCTTTGGTGGCAAATCTAATTTGGCCTCATCACATTTGCTATTCACCCCGACCCCCTCTCTTTCGACCGGCTGATCCGACTCGGGCCTCCAATCCGGATCCCCTCATTGTCTCGTAGATCCGTTCCTTCTCTTTCTGGTCCACCGATTTCACTCGGTTCCAGCCCCAGAGTGCATTTCACTTCAGGCGCTATTTCTCAAGGCTTAGAAACACGTACACTGCCGCTTCATTGAGCAGAGCGCCTAAGCTCTGATTGCCATGCTTGCAGACATCAGGCCTTCCCTTCACGAGTCCTCTACCTTCATAAAACCCATGTTATCTGAGCAAGCTGTGGACGCCTATCTCTGGTCGCATGCGGCATCTCAAGTGGATTTCTAATACATTTTGGCCATAACGCTAAATTTCTGTGACGGTTTGCTTATCCGTCCGCCTAGAGCCCTGACTCCCGGGCCCCATTGCTGTACTTGTTTATTCGAACATCACTCATTAACAACGTCTTCGCTTGATTTCCGAAAATCCCCGCAACCAACTTTCCCATCACGTTTGATTTTCCTCTGGCTAATGATAGATCCTTGGTCCAGGCGGCTCATTTTTTGCTGGTCTTGCTGTATTGTTAGGTTCTCCAAATTTGTTTAAGAAGTAGGCAAAGTTATAGCCAAATCTGTTTTCCTCCAATCTTCTGTTTATTAGATTTTTTCACATGGATGTTAATGGCTCCATAATCTTCAGCATCCTTATGTTTTCACAGTATGAGTCCCTCCTTTCTGTTTCCTTCCAATTGATCTCGTGTCCAGTCTGTGCGATGTTTTTCGCTGATTCTGACTTTTCGGTATTCCTTTTCCTGCACTTATTGATATTCTTTGATTCATATGCCGATTTTTCTCCCTGTTTCGCTAATATATTTCTGTTCGCAGGCGTCACGTGTTATGCAGTAAGCCCAGGAACAAGCATATTTGCCCGCCTTCTCTTGTTGCGCCGATATACTTGTGAAAAGTGTTATTTTTCTTCATCGCCACCCGAATATTCCATTTCTTTAGTATTAGCCGTAGTTATTGAGTTAGTTCGTAGGAACGTAGACATATATACCTTTAAGAATTCTTCTCCGTCCTTAGTGTTTTTTCGTAGTCCCGGTGCCGCCGTCCGTATTTTCACGACCGGTATGTTTCGTGGTATCACATAGCATGGGTAGGCATAGCAGAGGAATATTCCAGTCAATTTGTCCAATTCAACGTCGCAGGAAATCAAAAACCGTTAAGCGTAGGCTTGTGCTGATCAAGCTGTTCATCATTCATATCTTTATCGTGTAGTAGGACTGTAAATGAGTATTATCAAGTAATGATACTTTTCATAAAAGGAATACAGAAGAATAGGAAAAATAGATACCGAAAGATCATAATACAGCAAGACCAGCAAAAAGGAGGCGCAAGGATCAAGACAGAATGAGGAGT